TACTGTTCTCTTTTATTTGACTCTAATTAATTTATATTACATTTAATTTTTTTTGTTATATTTAATTTAATTAATATATATTATATTATATTAATATATTATATTTATTCTGTTGTTTTATATTTTACTCTAATTAATTTATATTATATTATATATTTTTATCCGTTATATTTAATTTAGTTAATATATTATATTTAGTTTATTATATTCTATTTTATTTTGTTTAACTTTTTAATTTTGTTTTCATATTATTTTATTATATTTTATTTAATTTTATTATTTTATTTCATTTTGTTTCATATAATTGTATTTTATTTTATTTTTCTTTAATTTATTATATTTTTATTTATTTATTTTATTGCATTTCATTTTATTTTACTTTATTTTATATTAATTGTCTAACATATTTGAATATTATTTTCTTTATTTAATATAATTTTATTTTTTTCTGTTTTAATTATATTTTATTTTATTATCTTGTATTATTATTTATTATTATTCTTTTATCAGTTACATATCTTAAGATTACAATTACTCATGTTTTCATTCTCTTACTGAGTAATGCGATTAAAATAATCAACAGGTACATACATATATGTACATAGTTTACATGTACATACATACGTATCCAAACAGAAACGAAGATGCCATAAAACTTTCGCGAGACCGGCTTTTTTCAATTTCTGTTTAAAGCATTTTTTGTAGATGCGAGAGAGTCACACATTTGAAGAGAGTGAAAACAAGAGAACAATAACGTTTAAAATCGTTAGTGGCGATAATGTGACTAATGAACAAAGTTCGATTTCACAACAAGTAGATTGTTTTTTATTGTATTTTTATTTTTGTTGGTATTGCTGAAAGAATCGGAAGTATTTTTTTTATTTACATACGAGTAGGAGAATATGTATGTCAGATGATTTTACATTATATATTCTATTCTTTAAATAATAATAGATGAACTTTTTATGTTTAATAGAAACAAAAACATTCAGTCAGCACAATCGACTCTTGTACCACTCGCTACTGTTAACTGAAGTCGGTAATAATTTCGTCTACATACATACATACATAAATAATGTAGAACAGCAAGGCCTGATGCGGTTTTCTTTGCGAACTGCATCATACCTTTCAGTGCCATCAAACATTGTCTAAATCAATGGACAATAGAGGAAAGTATATGATTTGGAACATTTTCACTATGGAACGAACCACTTAATTACTGTGGGACAGCGTCGATTGCAGGTAGACCAAATTAGCGCTTGAACACTACCCCTGGAATATCATCTTCGAAAATTAGATAAAATTGAATCCGCAAAATGCAAATGCACAGAAGAGGATGAAACCCTACAGCACTACCTTTGTGATTGCTAGGTCCACGGGCAAGCATGGCAGGTTGAACTAACCAACCAACTTTTCAATAACTTAATCGAATTCCTTTTGAAATCGATTTAAATAAACACTGCAGCGCAGTAGTTAGAGAAGCGTTTTAACAGAAAGGGTCCGATCTGAATAAAATCGGTAAAACACAGTGATGGCCTTTACCTTTAGCCATCATCCTAAATGTTTCTTAACTCAAAATCCTCGTTACTGGTTAGCCGCATCTTCACCCACTTTTGGATAATACGATCTCGGTGGCAAATTGATATTGCCAAGACGAGAGATTACGCGACCGGGAAATTTCCCTCGCAATAAAACTATATTCTCTCGTGTTGTGTGGCATGTGGCACCATCTATTTGAAACCACATATTTTCCAATTGTGTGTTCTCCAATTGCAAAGCAAAGTCGGTTATCATACGACCATAATGCTCCGAATTAACAGCGACAGTCTCGCCTTTATCCATTTCAAAGAAGTAAGATTTAATCAAAACTCCTGAACAAAGTGCGCACCAGATAGGGACTTTCTTTGGGTGTAATGGGCTCTCTTTATTTATTTGAGAATTCTCGGAGCACCAAATGCGACAATTTTACTTATTTACGTATCTCCCGAGTGAGAAATCTACCTCGTCGCTGAAGAACTGCTTTTTGTTGGAAAAATTGCCGTCCACTGCTTATTGCTCAAGTCAAACCCAATCGACGTATGTACGGTGTTGTGAATGATCAGCTAGCTTCGGTCTTTATGTGAGCTGGGCTTTATATGGAGGTAGGTCCGTGTGCAGAACACGCCATAATGTGAAGTAAATAAGTCCCAACTCATGAAAACGTCGAGATATAGACACTTTCAGGTCTTCGGCTACATTTTCCCCCGAATTAGTCAGTCCTTATAATATTTCTAACTGATACAATGTTTTGAAATGTCTTTAAACTTTTACCAATTCCTTGAGTCGTTGGGCGGTTATAAGCACCACAACTTTCTTTTAAAGCCGGAAAAGTGGTTACATTTGGATCATTATTTTTGTAATATTTTTTTTTAACAATTTTAACGCGTTGTCCGCCTGTTAGGCGATCCATTTTCTTAAATGCCTGACTTTTAACTAAAATAAAACTGTATGCTTTGACAGAGATGTCAAAATGCAGCGATGCACTTTTGAAACGATGAAATGGACAACCCTGTATACTCGTATACGAGGTGTGACAATTAAGTCATGAGACTGATTCTGTAAAAACCATATATTTTAAAATTATTCTACAACTCTGCCGTCCCCTTCAGAGTAGTCCCCTTGGACAGCTATACAACTATTCCAGCGCGTTTTCCATGCTTCGTATCATTTTTCGAACGCTTCGACTGGCATGTCCGCGAGTACCCTAGTCCCTACCACCTGGATGTCCTCAATCGACTCAAAATGGGTTCCTTTAAACACCAATTTGTGCTAGGGAACAAAAAAGTCACAGGGGACATATCAGGCATATAAGGCGGTTGTTTCAACACGGTGATCCTCAGAGGCTTAGAGGCCAAAAACTGGAATACGCAGAGTGCCGTGATAATGGATCCAGTTACGAATGATGTCTGGGCGCACCCTGTTGCCTCGTTTTCGCAATCTTTCGAGTACTTGGGAATAGTAGACTTGATTTACGGTTTGTTCCAGTGGAAGAAATCTTTGTGAACGATTAAACGGCTATCAAAAAAGGTATTAATCATCGTTTCCACCCTTGACTTACTCATGCGAGCTTATTTTGGGGCGGGGGGCGTGCGGAGGCAACCATTATGAGCTTTGGCATATGGTTTACGGGTCGTATGGAAAAAACAAGCTCTAATCGCCGATAACAACTCGATCAAGCACCCCAATCTAGCGCAAAATTTTATTGCGACGCATTGCTCTTGATTTTGTTTTTCCATTTTCGTATTGAGCACCACGAACTCACGTTCATTCAACACGACACAGCAGGCAAACTAAACAAGCAAGAGCAATGGCAAATATATCAATGGAGTTGAGACGGATGCCGGTAGAAGGGAAAGGAAATTTCAAGGTCGGAGGGTTTCCACAATCGCGGCAATAAAATTAGTCTCAATACTTTATCGTCACACCTCGTATATATATGTAGGTACAGTTTGAATATTCTTAGAAAGGAGAAAATATTACTCATACGCAATGTCGACATAAAGAATTAAAAAAATCTTGAAATATTTTAGAAATCAACAACAAAGCCCCAGTTTTCATTTAAATAAGTAAACTGAAATTTAAGAAGGTGAGAAAAAAGTGTTGTAGGTTTCGGTGCCATTGTATCGCTTATACAGACCGATATCGGAGTAACGAACTTGAAACTGCTCTATTGGAAAAAATATAGTATTTGGGGTCCGATTTTAAAGATATTTTGTACATAGGCAGCATGGGCCACTAGTAATAATAAAATGAAAAACCTCTGTTTTCTTTTTTATTATACATATACATATATTACAATATTATATTATATATGTACGTATTAATGAATATTTTGAGAATGGAGAGGAAATATATTTTCCTTATAAAATATGAGCTGGATGCCTTACTATTATTGTTGTTATTATTATTATTAAATATTATTATTATAATTATTATTATTTTTATTGTTATTATTATTATTTTTAATTATTTTTAGTTTAATATTTTTATTATTATTATTATTAATTTTTTATTATTATTATTGTTATTATTATTATTATTAATTTTTTTATTATTATTTTTATTATTATTATTATTATTATTAATTTTTTATTATTATTTTTATTATTATTATAATTAATTTTTTTATTATTATTTTTATTATTATTATTATTATTATTATTATTATTTTTATTATTATTATTATTATTATTATTATTATTTTTATTATTATTATTATTATTATAATTATTATTATTATTATTATTAATTTTTTTATTATTATTATTATTATTATTATTATTATTATTATTATTATTANTATTATTATTATTTTTATTGTTATTATTATTATTATTATTATTATAATTAATTTTTTTTATTATTTTATTATTATTATATTATTAATTTTTTTATTATTCTTTTTATTATTATTAGTATTATTATTATTAATTTTTTTTATTATTATTTTTATTATTATTATTATTATTATTATTATTATTAATTTTTTATTATTATTATAATTAATTTTTTTATTATTATTTTTATTATTATTATAATTAAATTTTTTTATTATTATTTTTATTATTATTATTATTATTATTATTGTTATTATAATTATTATTATTAATTTTTTTTTATTATTAATTTTATTGTTATTATTATTATTATTATAATTAATTTTTTTTATTATTTTATTATTTTATTATTATTATATTATTAATTTTTTTATTATTCTTTTTATTATTATTAGTATTATTATTATTAATTTTTTTATTATTATTTTTATTATTAATATTATTACTATTATTATTATTATTATTATTATTATTATTATTATTATTAATTTTTTATTATTATTATAATTAATTTTTTTATTATTATTTTTATTATTATTATTAATTTTTTTTATTATTATTTTTATTATTATTATATTTAATTTTTTTATTATTATTATAATTAATTTTATTAACTACTTTTTATATTATTTAGAGAGAAATGCTATTAACAATTGTTATCATTGAGTTAATTACATACATACATACATACACACATATGTATTTTACAAATAAACAATTTTTTCATGGAATTTCCTCATTGACGTGAGGAGACAGCGTTGCCTAGTGGCTGCGTTGTCAGCGGTGGTGCTTGTGGCATGTTAGTATTATTTTGCACATTCCGCTGAAATCTATATCTATTCACCTTTCTTGGGTGCAACACTTCAGTGTAGTCGATTGGGTGTGAACGTTTCGAAGCCCGCTGTGAACAAGGAACCCTCACTTCTGATTCCAAATTATTTTGTTCAATAACACGACCCTTCTCCACCAATTCGCGGAATGTCTTCAAATCTTGTCTCAGAATATTTTTACGATATTTGATATTCAGCAAACCATAAATCAAATCCAATTCAATTTCCTCACTGTGACGACCCTCAGGTAACTGGGCGAGTAGTGCACGCTTGTGACAGATAAATGTATCAATCGGCGTAAAGTTATCCTGCTTCCGCTCAAATAACTCCAAGTAAACCTGATAAGCCGGCTTGGTGGGTGAAAAGTGTTCGCGTATCAGTGTAATGGCATCACACCAAGTTTTGGCTTCTTTGCGCACACCCTGCCACCAAGTGGAGGCTATGCCGTAGAAAAGCAGTGATAAACCTTTCAACGCATCCGCATCGCTGATCGTCTCAAGTTCTTTATATGTCACAATCGAGGTGATGAACTCCTCAACGGCTTCCTGCTGGCGTTGGCCACCGAAACGACTGGTGCAGTTGGTGAACGAGCCTTTGCCTTGAATGGTGGTTGGCGGTGTGGTATTGATAATGCCTGTAACGGCGGCCGTGCGCACCGATTCGATCAGTGATTGTAGTTGTTCAGCGGTCATTTGGACGACCGGTTGAGCCATGATGTTGGATGGAGAAAAGGTAACTTTATGGGCGAGTGGTGAAAATGATTTAAATGCTGGTAAATTTATTTAATTTTTCCAATTTGATGTATATGTATGTTTTTTTTTTTTGCAATAACGCGAATGTTTACAATGATAATTTTGGACGATGGTGTGTCTGCTCGTTGCATTGGCTGCGGTTTTGAAATTGAAAAATTTAGATATGAAATCCGATTTATATACTTGGCTAGACGCTTGGACGCACTGTTGTGAGAAAAATGCATGATCACACATACATAGATATACATATATATATATATATATATATTAAAATAAAAAGCTTTAAGAGAAAGAATGTGTGACAGAGAGAGAGAGAGAGAGAGAGCAAAGGCTGTCTGAGTAAATTGACAAAGTGAAATTTACCCATAAGGAAATAAACATACATATAAAGGGTGATTTTTAAGAGCTATAGCAAAGTTAAAAAAAAAAACTCAGAAAAATGCATGAAATCTTTATTTGTATTCATAGTACGGTTCATATAATTTACTGTTTGAAAATTATTTCATGGAAATATTGACTGTGACTGCGCCTCAAATTGTCCATCCGCTTAGTCCAATTTCGGCATACTCTTACCAACATTTCGGCCGGTATCTCACGAATAAATGCCTCAATGTGATCCTCCAAAGTGTCAATTGAAGCGGTCTTGTCTGTATAGACATTAGATTTAACATAGCCCCACTAAAAGTAGTCTAAAGGTGTTAAATCGCACGATCTAGGCGGTTCAATGCCCGGTTCAGAACATGAAATAAAATGTTCACCGAACTCGCCTCTCAGTAAGTACATTGTTTCGAGTGCTGTGTGGCATGTGGCACCGTCTAATTGAAACCACATGTCATGCAAGTCATGCTCTTGCATTTTGGGCAAAAAAAAGTTTGATATCATCTCACGGTAGCACACACCATTCACAGTTGCGTGACGATTCGTATCGTCTTTGAAGGAGTACGGTCCAATGATGCCACCAGCTCATAAGCCGCCCCGAATTGTGACTTTTTCTGGATGCATTGGTAGCTCGTGCAACGCTTCTGGCTGATCTTCACTCCAAAATCGACAATTCTGCTTATTTACGCACTCATTAAACCTAAATTGAGCTCGCATTTTGATGATAAAAAGATGATTCATGGTTGAATGGTAGACCAAGCTGAAGATGTTTGGCAGTGATACAGAATACGAAACGTGCGTCAGCTGTTTAAACCAGTTTTGCCAACAAGATAATAGCTAAAAAAATCACCCTTTATGTGTGTGTATATCTGTGTAAATTCTCAATTCGTTGAACTCCAAAAAAAAAAACTCCAAACGCCGTCAATAAAGTATGTCAAGTGTGGCAAGAATATATCGGTTTGTGTCTTTTATTTCTTTTGTTGTTTGTGTATACGTCATAATTTTGATGTTGTTAAATTAATTAGTTAAACAAGTTTTATAAAATTAATATTTTTGTGAGTGTATTTAAAATCTTTTTTTTATGCGATTTATGTTTGGGTCTTTTTAACCCCTGAACCGATGTTCGGCCGACCTTCTTCTCTAATTTGTCTTCATGTTTTTCCTAACGAATGGAGGGCCCTAAAAACGACTGAAGGGATTGTTTTAGGTCCTTTTTTGCATGTCCGCAATACACTCGAAGGGAAACTAATTTTCTACAATTTTGGATGTTTGTCTTCAGAATGGCAGTACGCTATATTAACCCCTCGATAATTGTGGTCGCCGAAATTTTTTCAATTTTTTCTTATCTCAAGAAAATATGGTTTTAATTATTAAACTACAATATACATACATAATATACTATGTCTTGATATTTCAAATTGTCCATTTCTTTTCGCTAAGATTCAGTTGCTACTCAAGAAGCTCAATTCATTGAAATCGAACAATGTGTAAATACCTGTTGGAATAGGGATATAAAATTCCAAGCGTTTCATCAACTTTTGTATGCATTTCTGTCAGAGAATGCAGCGTCTTCTTATATCCAACGATGTAGCTTTTAAGAATAAATTTGAACTCCTGGTGGTCAGGATGTTGTATCGTTTTAGGATGCCGGCAAGCAATACCTTTTACTCATTATTCGACTGCAAAACTCCTAAAATCAGAAAAGATTTTTTTTACACATTTGTAGTTGATATAATAAAAATCAGAAGCAGAAATAATAACATTGATGTAACGGTAGTTGTGTGTTCTTTCCAATGACTCTCATGTGTTTACCAACTCGTACATTTCCTCCAGAATTTTATTTCGCTCGCTGAACGCATTAGCATATCCAAACAGCCGAGATCTGGAATCAACATTCTAATTAATAATATTTATTAACAATATCAATATTAAATCCCCTTGGCAGGAAGTGTCAACCCTGCGAGTGTATTTCCGACATGAAATAAAGGCTCCTCATAAAAAAACCATCAGCCGTTCGGAGGCTTATTATGAACTGTAGACCCCTCCATTTGTTGGAAAAACATCATGACACAAAACCACAAATTGGAGGAGGAGCTCGGCCGAAAGTCGCTTAAGCGGTTACAAAGCGCCAATTATATTTATATTATTTTAACAATTAGATCCACCGCTCAATCGCATGCCTGCTATGCACTAGTAAGAATGAATCGGAAATGTGACGTAAATAAAGCAACAACTGATTGCCAAATTTCATAACAGTGAGTAACGACATCCTTTAAGGCGCAATCTTAGATCTCTATCAGTCTTTATTGTGGGTCATTTGCTTTAATTCTTATTTGAACTCAGTTGCAAATTGAAATGCAAAATTTTTTCTTTCGGAAAGCTTCGGACATTACATTTATATATATGAGAATATGAGAAATATGCTCTTTTGCAAATCAGTCTCTCACACCGATGTTACGTGATTGTAGTTGTGAGCGCTAAAATGTGCATTGCAATGCAGAAGTAGACTGTTTTGTGTATTTTTCTTGGAATTTTGTTGATAAACCAATTTTTTTTTACGCATCCATTTGTGGTGTACATATTAGGTGTAGTAAAAAATAATCCATTTTTTCCAATAGACAGCGTTATTTCTCTGCATCTCGCGCTAGAAGGCTGACATTTCGTACTAAAAAAACTTTTCTGACAGTTTTACGATTGGTTGATTCAGTATTGTCTAAGCTTGCGTCAAAGAAGGACACTAGCAAAGAGAAAATACGCTATATTTTACAAGTTTTCTTCGATGAAGGCGAAAATGAATGACCGTTTGTGGTCATGATACCGTAACAGCCGACAAACAGAAATTTTGATTGCGTTGATTCCGTTCCGCTAATTCCGATGTCAAAGATGCACCATGCACTGCACGGCCAATTGTCGAAAATGTCGATAAAATCGACTGCCCAGGGCCTAAAGAATGCACAAAGAAAAACCATTTGGAACCATTTAAATAAGGCTGGATACGAAAAGCAAAAAAAAAAAATATATATAAAATGCATTAAATTTTATGCGAAAATAATGGATCTCTTTTTACTACACCTAATATGTAAATAAATATTTTCAATTGTTTATCTACGCACATAAAAACAAATTTATATTCAAAAAAAAGTCGCCCAGCAACAAATGAATAACAAATGTATTTCACATTATACATACATACATATATATATATATATATACATACATTCATATAAACTCACGTAGAAAATTCGTCTATTTTTCATATCTAAATAACAGTAGGAGTAATACTGGTAACCGATGCCTAAATTATTAATCGATGAGGATGGAATAAACGTTCCGTTAGTCGACTATGACGAAGTTCGAATAACGATTGATCTCCTGAAACATATCGGCGGGCCGACGAGCTTCCAACGGATATATTCAAATCATATATATCGCAAATCAACGATTCACCAATTATCCACCACCCACCGTCGAATCATAGTAAACAAGTATATACCCACCACCTTTTAATCGATATCAGGAAGAACCGCTTTGAGCCAATTGGTACCACAAGGTATTATCAGAGAGAGTGGCCCTCTATTGGCTGATTTCTACAACTTAATCCTCAATGAAACGATGCATGCGGATCTGGTTTTGAAGAAGGAAGCCAAAATATCTTCTTCACACTCTTGTGGATCCCACGGTTTTTGACAGTTACAATTATAGTTAGTTAAAAGTAGATGAGTTTGTCTATCTTGGGTCCAGCTTGAATACCCACCAGTAATATCAGCTTGAGCTCCAACGCTGAATCACTTTGACCAAAAGGTGCTACGTGATTAGTAAACTCCTCTCTCGACGAACAAAGATCAAACTCTACCAAGTCAATCATCATGCCCGCCCTGCTATATAGTGCGGAAACATGGACAATATCGGCAACCGAAGAGGCGACACTAATAGTTTTCGAGAAAAAGATTCTGGATAAGATTTATTAAACTTAACAGAGGAACGTGAGGTGAAAATGGTTCTGGCTTGGTCATACCGTCTCAAGGATGAATAAGATAAATAGCGTTTGTACTTAATATTTAACAAAAATGAGGGCTTCCGATTGAATAATGATATTGAAAATAACACAGTCGCTTAGCTCAAAGCAGGCCAAAGGTTTAATGGTGAATTTAGTATTCCGAATATTAGTTAATATTGTAGGTATCTAACACAACCGAGCCAAACCTTACTTGAGTTGTTAAATACCTGTATGAGAACCCAAGAATCTTGAGCGTTTATAGAAGAAGACATCTTAAAATGGATTGGAGTCAGGAATTTTAAATTGATCAGAGAAAATCAATAAGTGATCATGGAAGGTTCTTACAACAAACCATAGGTAAAACTAGGAGATTTTGAATTTTTTTCATTACACACGTTCCGTTCTGCAAGCTAGCGTGAACTGCATTAGCTCAAAAGCGGCTCTCTGCTAATATGATATACATATGTATCACCGTCTGCCTCCTAAACGATAATAATGACTGAAGGCTGTGTAAGGTCTTCTGTGTAGAGAGATACCTACTTCAACAAGCAATTCAGTTTGCAGTTTTCTCTCCTCTCCCTCCTACTCTGAAACTTACCGCGCTTCAGTCAAGAACGAACTTAGGTTTGGGAGATGAATTATTGCCAGGGTTATCAGAGTAGGCTGCAAGATATCAGCTCTGCGTGAAACCAAGTTTTCTCTGAACGAGGACGTGTAAAGTCCCAGCAGCAAAATTTTCAGGTTATAATTGGTG